ACATGACTAACGACTTCACATCCTTTAAGTCTCAGCTCAAATGTCATCTCCACAGTAAGCCTTCCCTCTGTGTATCTAAAGTAGAACAGCTGCTGCCCTGACCAGGTGGCTCATTTGGTTGGAGCATTGCCCTGTGCACCAAAAGGTTGTGGGTTTGATTCCCAGTCATGGCACATACCTAGGTGCAAGTTCAATCCCCAGTTAGGGCAAGTTTGAGGCAACCAATCAATGTTTCTCTCTAAGATCAATTAACGTAACCTTGGGTGAGAAGTTAATTAATTAAACAGGACAGCTGCTTCCATCATTTCCTCTTAGAATTTTGTTTCCTTTATAACACATCCACACAGCTCTATGTGAACTGATTTGGGTTTATATCAGGTCCAACAGACTGTAAGCGCCAACAAGAGCAGGAATAAATATGTATTATTATTTACCATTATAATTCCCAATGGCTAACACAATTCCTAGCATTTAAGTGCCTATTAAAATGCAACTAGTATTTTTATTTCCCTAATATGCCACGTCCTTACACATACTGTTCCCTATATTGAGAAGACTGCCACCACTGCTGCCACCACAGACACCTCATCGCCACACTTACCCCTTTCACACCTTCCTCAGTCTCAGCTAAAACATTATCTTCTTAACAAAGCCTTCCTGCCTCAAGCCCTCTGGAGAAGAGTCTCTGCTCCAAGTACTCAGCCACTAATCACTGGCTGCATCTCCATCATAACAATAATCTTATTGTATTATACTGGGTGGGGTAGACGGACTGAGTGTGGAGGGGGCCTGCAGGGAGTTGGTTTTGTTTTATATTTCTGTCTTACAACTATTTGGGAAGTCTTAAAGAAAAAAAATCTCATTTCTATGTCTTAGTGCACTACCAGTCACATATTATAGTACTACCAATTATGATAGTAGCAATAATGACTAACATTTATTGAGTGTTTAATATGTGCTTGACACTCTTCGTAGTTCTAGAGTGAGTGAGTGAATGAATAAATGGATAAATTTCTTGGTCACCAACCTCAAAGAGGTTGCAGTCTGACAAAGACAGAAGACAGGTATACAGGCTAATGCAGAATAAACACAGCACGAGGCCATATCGGCTGCCCTGTCCTGTCCCTCTCTGCCTTCAAATGTTTGAGTATGCTTTTCTCTGAGTCCATAAATGTCAGGTTTCTTCAAACTCACTTAGAACACTTCCTTCGATTACTTACAATCTACTTCCTGCCCTTAGTGCCTGGAAACAATTTCTAGGATGTCACCACAAGCAATATTAAACTGCTACACAGTTTCCTGCTGTGCGTCTGCATTATCAGTTAAATTGCTTCATATTAACCACATTCCAGTCCACTGGGATCAGTCAAACACCACATAAGATTTAAACATAGCTGTCAAAGATGCCAGTTACCACTGCTCCTTTTATCCCTCTAGATGAATAAATGTCTGCTCAGGTTTAAGGTTTAGGAGCTTTCCAGGATACTACCTGCATAACTGGTGACCTTTTCTTTCCTTTATCAAGTAAATGTTTGGTGTGAGGCAAGATAATGTTCCTCTATTAAAAGGAACCAGAACTGAACACTCTGTAAAAAATATAAGGAACTATCTGCCTAGACGAGGGCAATTTGGCTTAAAAACTTATAAAACATAAACTCTTTCTCCTGAAGAATTCAAATAGCAAATTGTCCTTTTAACTCTATGTACACTCAGGATCTTAATTCAAATCCTAACGTATATCTTAAATGCCTTCCATAAACTCTTCCTAAACAATCTTATGAATCAACTACTGGGTTTGACACAGGGAACTCAAGACCAATAAGACAGTCCCTACTCTCAGAAAGTCTGTCCGGAGTTAAAATGGGGGCAGGCAAGAGACTGGACTTAGTGTTCTGACAGCAACAAACACAAGGGGCCATAGGAACAGATGAGGGCACCTAGCCTAGGCTGGGCAGGGGAGGCGGGGAGCTGGCCGCAGGGCAGGTTTCCAGGGAATGGCATCTGATCTTAGGCCTGTAAACTCCCATTCCCTCATTTTAAAAATGTAGTTAATAGTACCTGCATCACTGGACAGCTGTGAGGATTTGATGGAACAGTTCAGACAGCATTTCCACCATGACTGACACAGAGACTGTGCTCAACCAGCCTTAGCTTGAAAGGGAAGTCTGACCAGGCACCAAATCTCAACATCTATGCCTAGCAACGCCATTCACGATTACACAGATTATTGTTTTTAATCACTTTTTTTACAGACAGAATGTTAAGTCCTGCTCTTCATGTTAACAGTCTAATTCCTTGATCAATGTTCTTCCCCATTACCTGAACATCCAGTTCTCTGACACTGCTGGTATAAAATATACCAGTTTTCTTAGTCTTTTGACAGAGAAGAGGTGTGAAAGAAAACTAACAAATACTGAGTTTTTAATATGGGCCCTGCAGTCCTGGTGAGACTAGGGTTACTGCCCATAATGAACCTGCAACAGTAGTTTTCCCCATTTACCCTCAGGGTGAATAAGGTATTCTGCGTAAAGTTTCACAGCCAGTAGGAAAAAAGAGCTGGAATGAGAACCAGATCTGATTCTACATCTTAGCCTGACTAGGCCACACAGCATCAAAGATAAGCAAGAGAAAACACAGACAGCCATAGTGCTCTCCGGCTTGGAGGGTCCCCACTGTGCTCTCTGCCTTCTCCTGCCCCGCCCCCAAGACTGTCCTACACAGAGGAGCCTGCACACTTAGATTTCGCCTCAACCAGCTGAACGAACACCTTGTCAGGACAGAATAGTCAGCAGGAACCAACGTTGCTTCCTCCAACAGCTAGGGCCACACCTAAGTAGACAGTTTCCTCACCACTTGCCCACCCCATTCCTCGCTGCAGGCAGAAATTGCATAGTCAACAGTCACCATAAATCACAAGTACTTTTCATAACGTCTCTTCACATTCTTTCAGTCTAGCCACAAGTAACGCTAATGTATTTCCCAAGCCTAATCTTTTTTATTTAATCTTTATTATATTTTTCCCATTACCATTTAGCACCTTTATACCCCTCTCCCCCCAGCAATCACCACCCTGTTGGCCATGTCCATAAGTCCTTTTTCCTCAATCCCTCCACCCCCAACCCCCCCCACCCCGACTAGCTGTCATCTGCTCTCCAACTATGTCTGTCTGTTTTGCCAAGCCTAAACCTTTATCACAAAGCAATCTAGTGTCAAGATCAGGGGTATTCTTTATACTAATTTCATGCTTGATACAAATTCTTGCATTAGTAAATTCTCCTGCCCAAGCACTCAGTAATTGGTTCCCAAAACACACGAGACATGTATTTGTCAACCTGCAACCTTCACAAGCAAGACAGACACGGTGCATAATCACCTGAACTTCTACTTGTTAGATTTTCATACTGGCTCTGACACTTACTGACTCGTATCAGACAAGTTTCTGAACTTCTGTGTACCGAGAAGGGTTAGCATCCTAACAAGCATACTCTGCAGCTCTAAGGTGGGTTTTAGAAAGTGTTTCAAAGTGCTAGCAAAATCCAAGTTTACAACTTCCTTGGAAGTAGGAGCTAAACTTGGTGTGCCTCTTTAATTCCAAAGCTTCACACAGTCTTTTTACCTCCCAAGCCTCTATAAGCTCTTGTTCGGAGCACACTTCATAATGTTTCCTCTCATTTCCACAAAAATCAAGAACCATGTGCTCATCCAACTCTTTCTCATTTTCACTATCAGATGCAAACTCTTCTAATTTCATTTAGCAGAGGTCTCAGGGGCGGGGCTGCAGCACATACAAGACACATTTTGGGACTGGAAGCCTGAACCTCGGGGGACTACAATAGTGAATAAAGAAAGGTCACACTGCATGGACATCGACTGGACAAGGGTGTAATGTTTAAATACTAGATTTTGCTCCTAAGGCCCTTCTCCTTTCAAACTTCCTCTAGCACAAGTCTCAAAATGCTGAAATAAACACATTCCACAGACTTTCTTGTAAGCGGGTTTCAAGAGTCCTATGAAAGATGTTTTAAGGGAAAGCCCTGCTGTCAACTTTGTTTTTAAGTGCCCTCAAAAATTCAATTACTCATACAGAAAAAGTGAACATTTGTTAGTAATTAGATAAGGCATCTCATGTTCTGGAGCTAAGGGACAGAGAAGCCAAAAGAGGACCTGGCTGGGAGGGGAGATAGAGTCCAAAACAACACACCCAAACTGGACTGCAAAAAAGTTGCACTTTCCAAAGCCAACTTCTAAGTCTACAAGGAGGGAAACAATGTTTCAATGGGTTCTGAAGTTAGCTGTATCAAGTTTCCGGGGAAAACTAACCCCCGCCGGGGACTCCAGGTGAATGAATGAGTGAGGGAATTTGCCAGATTGGATTACAAAGCCTTTCCAACAATTACCAGGTGCTCAGTTACAACACAGACGTATCTTCCTTCACAGCTTTTGGCCCTTGTTGTGTGGCAACTTTCACAGATAAGAGGGGAGTCAGTGGGAACGAGAAAAGGGCCTTCACCCCACGACCTTAGGTCCATTACTGGTCCCCCTCTCCCTCAGAACCTCACGCGACTTTTGTGGGAGCCCACAGGCCTTAAACAGCAGGGCTGCCACCTCTCAGGACCTGCCTAACTCTCAGGAGTACCCCAAACACCCCCATTCAGGAAGTTGCTTCCGGAGATTTCTCGCCCTCCCCCCAACAGTTGTAAGACTGTTTTCAGAGGCTCTCCGTGACCCCCTGGAGAGGGCCACCGTGTAACCTCAGCAGCTCCCGTCCTCAAGTGAGGAGGGGTCACCTGACCACTGGCACCCTACCACCCCACGCGCACCCCGCCCCTGCGCCTCTCTTGATCGTCATGGCAACCGTCCCCCTCCCCGCGTGACGCCGGCACGCGGGGCGCCCCTGGGGTCCGGGCAACAAGTCCCCCGCGCGACCCACGGCCTGCAGCCCTCGCCCAGCCTCACCACCCCGCGCCCGGCCCCGCTCCGCCCGGCGCGGCCGCACTCACTTGATCCTGGAGCCCATGGTCCCCGGGCCTCCTCATGGGCCCGCGGCCCCGCTCGGCGCTGCGCTGCCTGCCCGCCCGCCCGCGGCCGACCGGCCTCCCTCCGGCGCTCTCCCCGCCCCTTCCTCCCTTCCCTCAGGCTGGGCCCGCCAGCTCCAGGCTAGCTCCCTCGTCGCCGCAGCCGCCTCCCGGGGTTAATGTACTAGGGCCATCCCGGCGAACGCCATGGTTGCCGGCGCGCGTGCCCGGCGCGCGCCGCCCCCGCCGCCTCTCACACAGCCGCCCCCTCCCGCCCGCGCCGCCGCCGCCGCCGCCCGCAGGGGCTGCCGGGAACTGTAGTCCGCTCGCCGGAGGTGGGGCCGCCCGAGGCGGGGTAGGGGCGGTCCTCGTTTCCGCCTACTAATTCCCGGACCTCCGTGGACCTTGCCTTCGGGGCACAGGCCCTGGAAGAGCTCCGTCCCTCCGTCTCCTGTAGAAAACGCCACCTACGACCCCCTTGGAAAAACCCCTCAGCTCACCTGAAGAAATCTTCCCCCATTTCCCCCTTAAGGAGTTCTCTCACCCAGTGGCTCTGTAGTAGAAAGAAATAGTCTGTCTCCCACTCAAGCCTCCATGAAAACACAAGTTTTTCCTTGGAAAATCCCATACCTTCCAGTAAGTTCCTTAAGGGGGCCATAGGCTCTCTTGTCTCACACCATCCACTTCCCCGGATATGGTCCGTGATGGAGCCCTTGGACCTTGCAGGAGACCTTGTCCACCCACAGGAAACCCACCCGGGGGCTTCATAGCGCCCAGTTAGCGATTCTGTTCTGCCTTGTCCTCGAGGGCCTCTGTCTCCCTTTATCAGCCATTTGGGAACGCTGACGGAGTGAACCCATGTCACTGTGACAGACCGTGATCGAGAGTAGCTCACTGCAAAGGAAGGTGTTTGAGAGCGAAGCTCACCAACTGCTACCTGCCTACCCCTGCTGCCCCTTGGGGCTTGCTCGGGCGGGGGGGGGGGGGGGGGGCATCCCAGCATCCCCGCCTCCGGGTCTGGAGGGACTGAGGATCCCGGAATCCCCGCCTCTGGGCCTGCAGGAATCACAAAGGAAGCGGTAATGACAGCTACCCTCAGCTACTGTTCTTGAATGAGCGAGTGAGAGTCCTCCCTGAACCAGACACCGTATTTCCCCTACAGGGTTAGCACCAGCCCTCGCAATAATCTTGGGAGTTTAAACCCCATTTCCCAAAGAGGAAACTGAGGCATTTGCTTGAGGTTCCATAATCAACACCAGGTGATCAGCATCCAGGCCAAATCCTTTCAGACACGTGCAACACAGTTGTACTTCCGGATGACACCTCTGGATGTAAGTAGAAGACACCGGGTCCACAGTTCACTTTGGAAATGAGGCCTTTTCCTCCTTTCACCGTTTTCTGTTCTGAAATGCCCTTTATTCCCTCTACCAATTTAGCTCTTGTAAATCCACTGCCTCCCCCACCCCACAGTCCCTACAGTAACCAGCCCTAGGCCCCAGCCAGGCGGGAAGCAGAACTCCTTCTTTTGAAGTTCCATTCTGAATAAAGATAATTTCTTTCTGTTGCCCTGAGGTTGTCAAAGGCAAAAGGTGAACCTTTTTTGAATTAAAACAAGAACACTGAAAATGTCCAAACTGCCATTTTGAATTCAAAGTCTTTTGCACCCAGACACCAACACTGACTTATAAACACCCGCAGGAGCAAAGCTCTGCCGGAGTGGTGGGGCCTCTGTGGTGTTGATGCACCTTGTTTCCTATGAAGCCTCTCCAAGAAACAGTTGTTATCAAGATCTTCCCTGGAACGAGCAGCCAGTTCAAAAGCTCTGAGCAGGAGTCTATAAATAAAACAAAGTTATTTGGTGAAGGGCAAAGCTGGCTGCTTTTCAAAGGAGGTTGTAGCCATCCTGGCCACAAAAATGTCTGGTGCCTGCTGGGTGGCGTTCTTATGTTTGTGTGTGTGCCTGCGTGCGTTGGAGAGGAAGACTGGAGGTAGGAGTAGGGGATTATGTATCTGTCCAGGTGGCCTCTGAGACTGCAGGGTGGTCTGGAGAGAGCATTGAACTAGGAGTTGGGAGTCTGGCTTGTATTGTTATCTGCACCACTGACTAGTGGAGAGATTTTAAGCAAATAAGTAGACAATTGTCTGCTTCCATTTCCTGCTTGGTAAAATGGGTATAGAGGATGACAAGGAGCTCACACCACAGGCCAGTATCTCACATAACCATTTTAGTATTTTTCTTGTGAGTTTATTGAATTCTAAAGTTTCAATCCTAGCATATCTCCCACTTCACATATCAAGACCCACAGAATGAGTGACAGTGACAGACTTGCCTTAACATCTGAGTGGAACCAGACTGCCTGGGTTCAAATCTCAACCCTACCTCTTACTAAAATAAATATGTCTCCTTCGGTAAGTTATTCACTCTCTCTGTGCCTGTGTCTGTAAATGGGAAATTAGGGTAGTAGATCTATCTTACTGAGCTGACATGAGAATTAAATGAGTTAATGGCACCTATAAAGTACTTAAACAGTGACTAGCATAGAGTAAGTGCTCAAAAATTATCAGCAACTATTGTATACAGGACACTTAGCAGAGTTTGGCTTTTTTTTTTAATAGTAATAATCTTCACAATAAATAGTTCTATATTTGGGTTCAAGAGACCTAAGTTCCCAACCTACAATGTCATTGTTTTCATTCTGAATCAGTTAGAATTCAGTTCAATGTGAAGAGTAGAAGACTGAAATAACAGTGACTGAAAAAAGGTAGAAGTTTATTTCTCTTTCACATAAGGTCTGGAGATGAACATTCCAGAGCTGGTATGACTATTCATAATGCGTCCTCTAAGATAGGAAGGCGTGGGAACAGGACAGGGCAGCTGCTTTGGCCTTGTGGTGGTGTATATTCTGCATTAGTTGACATACCTGTCTTCTGTCCCTGTCACACTGTGTCCTCATTGAGGTCAATGACCCAGAATTTTATCTTATTGCTCCAAATGCACCTTCTACCTCCTGGTCCAGGATGGCTGCTTGAACTCTCGCTATCTAATCCACAACCCAGCCAGCAGAAAGGAAGAAGGTCATGCCCTACCTCAACCCCTAATCTTTAAATATACTTTCATTTATATTCCATTGGCCAGTACACAGTTCTACAACCATGTCTCATTAGGAAATACAGCCTTTGTTTCAGACAATCATATGCACAGCTCTAGGGGTAGTGGGTCTTTCTGGAGAATAAGGGGAGGACAGATATTGCAAGACAGCCAGCAGTTTCAGCCAAGCCATCCTTGGCTATATGACCTTGGGCAAGACACTATATTTGAGCCTCAGTTTCCCTATATCCAAAGTAAGAGAATCAGACCAGATGGTCTATCTCCAAAGTCATTTTCAGGTACAAAATGCTGTAATTCAGTGGCTTGTTGTTTTATAGTTCCACTGAACTTAGGCGAATCTGATGTTATTTGAACAAAAGGAGACCCTCTGCCAAGTATGTGGCATAATCAATTGTTGGAATGAAAACTTCCAGAGATGAGAAAGAAGAGGTTTAGGATCTGGCTCTTCTCCATTGTTGTCAAAATAGGCTAACCAAGAAAATCCAGCAGAGGAAAATCCAACAGCGTGTGGGATGCTACCTGCACACACACTCTGATGCTCCTTAGTTTCCGAGCTTGCCCTCACTCCCCTCTACCTGTTTCAGGTGGTCGGTCCCCATGTGCCTCTACCCTGTGGGAAGTGAGTTGGAGAGTAGGCAGGACTCTGCCGCATTACACACTTGGACTCTCTTGCTACTTTTCCTTTATTTTGTACTTTCTTCCCTATATGCATTTATATATATTATCAATGTATAGGATATATCATTCTCCCTATTTATTTCAACAACTTTTCCTCCTAAGCCAGTACCTCACATAACCATTTTAGCATTTTTGTTGTGAGTTTATTGAATTCTAAAGTTTCAATCCTAGCATATCTCCCTCTTTACATGTCAAGACCCATAAAATGAGTGACAGCCTTGTATCTGAATGGAGAGTAAGACCCCAGTTTCCTGATCGCTTGACCTGAGCGGAGTGGTCAAGAATTTGGGGAGCAGATCCCCTGACCCAGTTCAATGACAGAGGTGTGTTTAATTTGTAGGTAGCTTGCTGAGGTTTCCAAAGGAGACCTTACCCCCTAAAACTAATGTCTCAACCCCTTGTGAGCTCTGCTTCCCGTGGAGCTCTAAAGAAAAGTCAAATTTCATTAGAGTCCAGAGAGGCAGCCTCACGTGCCATCTGCCTGGGATTGAATCCTCGCCCTGCTAGAGCAAATTACTCCACCTTAATTTAGTTCTTCATCTGGAAAATGGAGATTCGTTAGTACTTGCTTCACGCAATGGTGACAGGAGTAAAATTATTGTGTCTATGAAATCTGAGGATCCAGCAATAACAAATATTTGCTAAATGAATGATGATCAGAGATATGATTGGTGACCACATACCTTACTCACATGCTCTTCAATCTTGACTACAGCCCTGAAAGGTTGGCACTATGCTACACATTTCAGAGAGGGGAGGTGATTTTCCTCTGGTCACTCAGCCAAAAGCGGTAAGAGCTGAGTCGTTGTGCTAAAGGGATGTCTGATTCCCAAGCCGCCTGTGCTTTCAAAACAATTTCTACCAAGCTTCATTCTCTCATCTCATGCTCTCTCTCTTTCTCTCTCTCTCGGCTTGGCTAAAAATATCCTGAATTGCATCCTCATTAGCTAATATGCATACATTATTTTTTGCTTTTTGAACATAATTGGCTCATTCAAAGGAAAGGCTTCCACCTACATGAAAGAAAAAGCTGAGCTGCTCACTGAAAACTCATTTGAATTCAGAAGAGGCAGCTGCCTGTGGAAGCCCCTCTGCTTCTGGGCTTGTGTCCCTGGCTGGAAGGCAGCACAGCAGAGTGGAAAACAAACTCCCTTCATTCACATACCCCCAGCACATTGGAGCTGGGTGACTTTGGCCAAGTCCCGTCCTGTTTCCCAAGAGCTCGTCTCCTCAGCTGTTGTGTTAAGCTCACAGAAGAGCTTAACCCTTATAGGGTTGCAGTGACGATGGAATGAGATAAGCCACGGGGCCTGATATGTACTATGTGGCCACCAAAAAGCTGGGAACTGCCATGACATAGGCCACATGTAGGGAATAAACATTTACAGGAGAGGCAGGATAGCCAAGTGATTAAGAAGACAGGGGCTGGAGCCAGGGGGATGATGGATCAAACG